CCCCCCAGGGGACACCCCCCCCAGTACCCCTTATGACTGATTTTCAGGTGATCCCGATTTTTTTTCACCAGATCCTGATTTTTATACTCGAAAATCCCGATTTTTAGATTTCATAGAGTGGCAGGTCTGAAATAGTGACCAGTGAGTCCTTTTGTCTTCTATTGCTTAATGAATCGAGGGAATTTACTTGTTACCAAACTTGTTCTGTCTTTTTCTTTTTCCCAGCTGGAGTGATGCAAATCAAGCTGAACCTTTGGATTCAAAAAGAGAGAAGATTTTCTTCAAGACTGTGGATCTTGTATACATGGAAGGTGAGACAACAATACTAGATTTAAGTTCTGGCTGTATTTGAGAAAAATACTTCTGTTCATGGTGCAAGGTCTAAGAAAAGTTAAAATTAAAGCCATGAGGAAGAGTACTCAAAATTTGGTCGGTGTCAGTATTTTCCCCAAACATATCCTGCAGGCTGCTAATGAGATCATGCTATTCCCAGCTTCAAATCTGGGTGATGCACAATACGCAACAAATGCTTCATGATGTCATAGATTTGCTGTGAAAGGAAAAATCATTCTTCAAGTGTCAATTTACAGTTTGTCTTTAGCAAGTTAGTGTGTAAGTTTAATGCCACAATCAACACCATTAGGTTATTGAAGAGGCAGGACCTCCAAATTTAATGTCCGTCTCTGATAGGACTAGGGCCAAGCTAAATGGGTTGAGATCTTTGAAAACTCCAACATAGCACCAGAGTTCAAGAACCCGAGATTTTGAACCAGACCCATCTGCTCTATAGTCCAGCTTGATACCAACTGACCTTAAAGATAGCCCGGTTTGTCGTTAAAAAACTTGGAATTGAGAATAACACAGCTTTTGGGCATGTGAAGTCTGAAGGCAGTCTTCTCATGTTGCTACTGGTAGAGTTCAGAGAGTAACTGACTGTAAGATCTTAATCTCACAGTGCAGCTGATTTTAACCCTATCCGTACGCCCTGGGGTTGTTTTGTACCTGTCTGGGGTTGTATTCTTCACATTTTAGAATACTTCTAGAGCGAAGGTCTCTTGTAGTATTTCTCAAAAAATCTTTAGAATACTTTTAGTGCGAAGATCTCTTTGAAACTTTCAGTATTTCTCAAAAAGTCATTTTGACAGACTGCTGCTATGCAAAGCATGTGGATTGGATTAACGAGTTAATTTCCTCTTTGGAAAGTGGTGGCACAGAGTTCCCATCGTATGGATATGATAATAAAACACGACGTAGGGATAGGGTTAAGTAAATGGCAGTTTCATCTGCACAGAACGTAGAATCATTCTTTCTGTGACCGGCAGGTTTTTTAAAGGAGGTATTGTTTATAATTATGCTGACTAGAGTTGCTTTTCTTTTGTTTTTTTTTGTCGGAATTAGTTTTGAATTTTACACACTTTTTAAACATATTTTACCCCACGAAGGGATCATTAACGTACGTATTGACACATAAATACTATGTCTGTGTGGCTAATGAGCCCCTCTGTGAAGGCAGTTACAGCAGATATTTTGTTTGGTTTTATATTCCTTACAAATTTCTTGTTGCATGCATGTTGGTCTCTAGTCACTTGATCTCTAATGTCTGCTGTCTTTTTTACAGTAGCATCCACGGTATTGTGGCTTAGCATGTGCACTATTTTTATTTTGAACACGTTAAAACTGTTTTTATCAAATCAAAAGTTGTCTGCCACGTAAGTGAATGAACCTAGGATGTTTGCATTGATATGGATCTTTTCTTTAGGTATAAAGAGGGATTGGGTTTATCTGTATGTCTATAGGCTTCATTCAGGCTATATCTGTGAGATTCATTCTCTCTCTTCTCTGTGGTGTCATCAGGTGAGTTGGAGAACTTGCTGCCAGATCTGGACAGTCTGCTGTCTTGTGCCGAGCTGCAGGAGCTCAGTCAACAGGCAAACTTCCGCTTCCTCATGCGTGGTGGCTACGAGCAGATCCAGAATGCCTTGTCTGCTGCAAACTAAGTGTTGGAGGAGGACTTATTGGGAAGGGTGGGGGGTGGCTTTATTCTTTATTGCCTATTGTGGCCTGGGTGTCAACAGCTTCTGAGCACTGCCATGTGTAAATTATAGACAATAACATTTCATCTGTACATATGTAGGGAAGCCAGAGAAACTACAACCTGTACGTCTTTTTTAAAAGAGCTCCACAGAGTAAATTGGCCTACCATAAAAGACTGCACCTCTTAATCCTCTACGGCAACAGAGGAATAAAAAGTAAAGTAACATTTGCTGTCACAATTGTCACTCATGTGTGGTGGAAGAAGACCTACTTGCTTAGGTTGTTGTTCGGTGTAGAGATGTTGTGTTGCTGTAATACTGACCGCTGATATCTAAGGGACCGCTCACAAATGATGTCAGCTAAAATTTGGCCAAAAATGACAACCCCCCCCCCCCCCCCCCCCCCCCCCCCCCTCAAGCCATATTCTGTCTTTTTTCTATAATATTTTTTCTTCCTTTCTTTTTTCCCCCAACCTTTTAGAGCATCATGGTTGATGTCAACTTTGTAAGGACCCCCTGTCAACTTTTCACTGACATCCCCTCGCCCCTCTGAGCTGTCATTTGTGAACAGTCCTTAAAGTGGCATGTAGCTGCTCCTGGATTCTCTGATTCAGTCTGTGTTGCACTAATATTGTTGAGTCAGCTGTAGGCCTTTTATTGTAGCCCTAGTTCTCAGTCTCTCTGATTATAGCCTTGAAATGTCAAACGGGTTTATTGTCATCTCAGAAATGATACTTTTGAAAGAAAGAAAAAATTAATGTTCTTACCCGCAGTTGCTGTACAAAAACTTATGCTTTATCATTCTTAGCATTATTGTATGTCATTCATTCATGTCAGTACATTCTTGTTTACAATAAATATGTACAAAAAGATTTCACTTTTGGTGTTTTTTTTTTTTGGTAGTTCTGTGGATAAAACTTCTAGGGAGTGCTTATTTGGGCCACATATGGCCTAAATAAGGTAAGGGAGGGGGGTTTAGCTTATTTAGGCCACAGGTGGCCTAAATAAGGTAAGGGAGGGGGGTTTAGCTTATTTAGGCCACACATGCTCAAACTACCAGGGGACACCCTTTTAAGGCAACTGAGTTCGTTCCACTTTCATAATGGTGCACCTTTCTCATTTAGTACAGTTTTGTTTCAGTGTACAACTTATATATATCATAATGAATATTGTAAGAACAAAGCACGATACGCAAAATTTTGCTCAATCCCAATGGTTTGAATGAGGGCCAGATTTTTCCTTCATGGAGGGGCAAAATCTAGGCTACCATTTTGGCACACTTTGGTCAAGTAAAAAGGTCAAATCCTCCGAATGGACTTCCGGGTCAAATTTGGGGTATAAAAAGTGTGTACACAACGTGGCTGAGAAAGTGTGTACACAACGTGGCTGAGTCAAAGTTACACTATCTTTGCCTGGGTGGCACTCTCTCGTACTGTCTAGTAGTAGTAGCCTACATGTAGATGTAGTAGTAGTAGTAGTAGTAGCAAAGATCGAGAAGAATCTTTGGTAGTAGATTCTATCTAGTAGGCAGTTTAGTGAACGTGCACGCGGCAGGGCGAATCGGCCTCGATAAGCCCCGTAGACCTTTGTGATCGGCCACGAAGCCTTGTGTTTTGATGGGTCTAAACAACTTAGTGTTAATCGCACTGCCACATCCGACAGGCCTTTATCTTTTTAAAAGGAAAAGAAATGGTCATCAAAATGGTTGAATTTGCGTGAAAATCGATTCGGTAGAACTGTAACTATTAAAATTTGCTTCTGAAAACAAGTTACAAGGCCATTTTTATAACTCGATGAGATAAAAACTACTAGCTGTATTATTCTGTATAAATTATGAAACTTCAGGACGTATTATTATTTTCCAACATCTTTTGCCGCCTTAGCTGTAGAGGTTGAAGTTTTCACAACACTAATAGATCTAGTAATAGGGCTTTCCGTAAAAAATGTATAGATCTACAAAAGCCGAACCACCGAATCGACCGGTCAGCGACCCGGGCACCCCGCTCTCCCCTGCACACTGTGATAACATGTTGCTTCGGTATAATTATTCAACTATTAATACGTGCTGCTATGGCAATTGGGATGTACTGACTGACAAAGCGATTCACAGTTTTGTTTTTATTTTACCATATATTTGACTTTAATAGTGCAGGTGATAGCTAGATCTAGATCTAGATTCCCTGTCTAGAATCAGTAGTAGCAGACAAATGTTAGAAGCAGCCAGGGAGCCTACAACTGCTAGATCTAGATCTAACTCATTGCTATGCCTTTGGGCTTTGGAATTGAAATAAAACGAATTGCACAGTTCTAGTTAATTTTAGATTCAGCAACTATCTGTATTTCCAGAATTAATAATAACAAATCTCACCATAACAATCACTTTTACTTTTATTAGAATGATTAGATCAACTTTTTTTTCTAAAATCTGTTTTGCGCAAACTTAAGACTTTCTCTACGTGTAGAGCACAGAATTTACATTGTGAGGCTCTGCTCAGTCTTTTATTTTTAAGTATATACTTAATAAAATGCGTATAGATATAGATCTATATACTCATTTTATGTTATTTTCTGGATATTGTTAAAAACGGGGTCTACCTAGCAAAATACTAGGTTTTAGGACAGGTGGACCCCGGGGTCACCGTAGTGAAATACATGTAAGTAGATTTATTTAACGATTAGTAGACCCCGGGGTCACCGTAGTGAAATAAGTAGGTTTAATTTTAAAAGGATTGGTGGACCCCGGAGTCACCATAGCCGTAGAGGAATAAGAAGGTTTAATTAAGAATTGGTGGACCCCCGGGACACCGTGATTAAACCTACTTATTTTACTACGGTGACCGCATGGTCCACCTATTCTAAAACCTAACTAGTATTAAATTTCGTTAGGTAGACCCTGGGGTCCACCTTAAACCTAAACCTTCCTATTTCACTACGTTGACTCCTGGGTTCACCAATCCTTAAAATTAAACCTAGATCTACATGTACTTATTTCACTACGTTGACCCCAGGGTCCACCAAACCTTAATTAAACCTAGATCTACTTATAATTTCACTACGTTGACCCAGGGGTCCACCAATCCTTATTAATTTAAACCTAGATCTACTTATAATTTCACTACGTTGACCACGGGCTCCGCCAGTCTTACTATAAAATAAACTGAGATCTACTTATTTCACTATGTTGACCCCGGGGTCCACCGATCCTTAGTCAAACCTAGATCTACTTATTTCACTACGCTGATTCCAGGGTTCACATCCTAAAACAGCATTTTGTTAGGTAGACCCCGCGGTCCACCTATCCTTTTGGGGCTAGATAGACCCCGTGGTCCGCCTATCCACTTCCTTGATAATAACTGGAAAACATGCCAGTTGTCATGAATAGTGAAGAAAAATGTGAGAAAAAAAAGATAACGAGGTAGAATCTAGACGATAATTTGTCAAAAAAATTGCAAGTGCAAGTGAAAATCATAAGATAATTTTGTTATTTTCTGGTGATCTTTTCACGGTTTATAAAATGTTCCAGTGGGCTTACTACTAGATCTATGTCTCTGAAAAACATTTTGCTTGATTTTATTAGCTTTTTTCATGTACTTGAAAGCATAGAATAAAATAGTTTCACACAAATGTATGCACAATACCTTAAAAAAGAAAGATAAGGTCATTGTTGTTGTTTTTTTTTTAACGGAATCCGTTTTACGTTGAAAAAAGCGCTAAAAACAAGTTTAAATTTTTTAAAGAATGCCCATAATATTAGGAATCCGAAATTACTACCTTGATCTAGTTTGCTGACTCTTTAATAACCATGAGCTGTTAAGAAAATATAGGATTTGTCTAAATATGACCATTAGTAAGATATTGCCCATTTTGTCCAATTATCCTTGCAGGTTTTAATCACCCTGTACTGCACCTCAATAAGCACAAAAAGAATATTTCTGTGACTTTGTATAAAGGTGTTTTGTAGTTGAGTTCTATGTAAAATTCTCAACAAAATAATGTACATTTGGACCGTACAACTGAGATAGACACTCATGCACACAATAACATTCACACATTACACACATACAAACACACTACTACATTTACTCTCTCTCTCTCTCTCTAGATCTCTCTCTCTCTCTCTCACCACAACCACACACAAAACAAACACATACACACACACACACACAACTCTTACACTTGGTCCACTTATTTAGAATCATCCTCTATTTTGAAATAATCCCCCGCACTAAATAAAAAGATTAGTAGAATCTCGACCTTCCGAATCCATGGTTAGTTCAAGAAATCTACCATATGATGTGGCCTAAATAAGGTAAGGGAGGGGGGTTTAGCTTATTTGGGCCACAGTGTGGCCTAAATAAGGTAAGGGAGGGGGGTTTAGCTTATTTAGGCCACACTGTGGCCCAAATAAGGTCACCCAAACTTCTATTAGCATTTTCAGAAAAAAACTGTTGAAAAGGAAAGCTTGTCACGGAATGCACGGACCTATTGTAACTGATTGCTTCTTTTTGACTCTCTGTCGTTGTTATTTGATTGTTTTTCATCTTCTGATATGATTGCAAACACTGCTGAAAGTAGGCAGAAGCTGGAAGATTAACTTTGGAGATTTCTCTTTGCTGAAGAAAGCTTCTGTTGGCTTTTTGGTTCTTTTCTCTTGGTCTGGTCAGAATTTCGAGAGATGAGTATATTTTCATCATGTTTTATAATCACGACCCGTTTTTTACACTTGAACATGGAGATCGTTGCTCCCTCTTTGATGAGAATATGGCAAAGGTTTCATAGAAATGGCCCTTGTAGAATGGAGAGTCATGATATGGGGCAAGAGTTCTCGGTTACCCAGCATGAAGAAACAATTTTTTGTCACTTTTGGATTTGGATCTAAAAAAGATACACAAACCATGACTACAAAAATGGCAGATGTGGCATTTTTTTTAAAGATGATATGATAGTGAGTTGTTTGTGACAGCTATGAAGATTTGATACCGACAGTTGGCATATTGTAAAACGGTGCTTTGATCTTTAGACCTCTGTAATCTGCACGCTATTGACATCCACTCCCCTACATAAGCAAACACATGTCTACAGACTTTCTTCAAACCCAACAACTCATAGACATTTAATTTCTAGACTTTCTACACCGACATGCTGTCAAACCAGAAACCACAACAAGATAAAGGTGACCTTTATCAAGTGGCACAAGGACTGTTTATTGTTGGAACCAAATCTGAAACATGTACTTCACAAACAACCTTTTTCAAAATGATATAGTTTAAACAAAAAACACATATTGTATATATATATGTATGAAAAGAAAAAGATATGGTATGAATCAGCTGTTCCTATTCAGGGGTATCAGTATCCTGACAAGGTGTATAGTGCCTCTTTCAACACATTAGCATGTTCTAAGAAGTTTTCCAAAGTGTTTTACATCACATCAATAGGACCTGAAATATGAATAGTGTGATGTCATAGGACATTAAACGGGCCTATTTCAAACATGGTGGGTTTTTTTCAGGCCAAGCAATTACACAGCACAGACTGCCAATCTGAACCTCACGCAACATTTTAATTAAAAACAAGAAATGGCCAGTAATAATTATATTAATTTCATCGAGTTAACCTATAATTATAATTAGTATACAGTCTTAAGTACTGCACACAAAAAATGTAAGCCTTCAGTTAAGTTAACAAATTACTGCAATCAGGTGAAAACGTAACTAATTTAATGAACTAGGGCTCGTCCTTATCTTAAAAAAACAAAACATACTGTGCTCAACAACCAAGTCAAGCCATGCTTGATTTATTCAATCACAATCGCAGATATAATTAAATCCGTCCATCAGAACGATATTGTATACATGTATGTGAAAATAAACACACAAAGATATACATCATAGACCTTGGTGACTCAATGAAAACTTAAAATAATAAAATAACCATGATCTTTTTTGGGTACCCCCAGAAAAAAGGGGAGCATTATTTTTAACATGTACTTGATGTACCATGCAAATAGTAGTAGTAGCAGCATCTGGGACTGAAGTATATTAGTTTCTTATATGAAAACAATTGGTGGCAGTATGGCCTGAGTGACGGTGCAAAGACCACACCATAACTGGCCACAACTAGAGCATTGGTATCTTAAGTACCACTGAAACAATGCAGAGATTTTTCCTCAACTGATTTCATAGTTAATCCAGATCTAGTCAATAGAATCATCTGGGACCTCAAGCCATGGGAGGATTATTATAAACATTGTAAAATAAACCACAAATTACAGCGTTTTTTATTATAATATAGTATAAAAAATATAACAACACAATAAAACTGTAAGGGAAGTTTCCACCTACTACAGAAGATCATCAAAAGTATCATTAAAATTACGCACCGATTTCATGACATAATAGAAATGAATACCGGCACTGACCACCAAAAATTGGCAAAAAGGAGAGACTGAATTGAATGCATATCCACATCAGTATATATCTCTATAAAAATATAAAACCCTGCTTTGGTTTACAGAATAAAACTAGTAGAGCAAGCATGAATTTTTTCTCTAACAACATAAAGACATTTAAAGCACCCTGTATTAGATTTTTTTAAAAAGCGAAATGTGTCACGATGGGGTGGAATCAGGCTCTCATCAATTTTTGGACATGTAGAGTTATTGGTATCGTCTTAAAGCTTGTTCCATTTATTTTGCTTTGGATGAAAAAAATATCTATTTATCTTGAATACAAGTTGAGATATTTGCGAATGAAGAAAGTGGGATCACCTGGTTTCAGAGGTAAAATAGTTGTTTCCTTCGCCGGAGAGTCCCAGAAACTAACATTCTAATTTTTTGGGCCTTTAATCAACTTTATTCAGTAAAATTCACACAGAAATGTGTTCTTGAATGGCCATGAAAGGTGTTATGCAACCCCCCCCCCAAAAAAAATTTGATAAAAATTCACAAACCTGTGGGAAAATGCCAGTTTCTTTGCTTTGATTATTTTGATGGGCGCCTGATTTCACCATGCTGCCTCACAAATGCTTGTGTTGAAAAAATCTAAAATGTAATCTAGCATGTGTGGAGTCATGTGCTAAAGCCATAGTTTCGAAACTAGCATTCCTCTATTAGCTTGAGACCATAGAGTTACAAAGGGCGGAGTGAAAACTTCAGTCTATTGGAATGTAACATTTTGTCCTCATGACCTCATACTTCATGGCCAGAGGTATCTTATAACCGAGCCTCACTGTTACCCAACATCATCTGACATGTATAGCTACATGCTGATGTCATCTATACACACATAGAGAAGCTGTATCCTAAAATGTTTATACAGATAAATGCTGCTACTCTTGAAGTAGCTGAACGAAATGTAGCTGATGCCTAAAGCATTATATGTACATGCAAACTTTGCATTATCTAAAGCATACAACGTACTATAAAAACATGGGATGTATTTTACCTTAAACTCTAAGGAACATGTATCTGATCTTTCTGTGTAAACATCTGAGTAAAAACTTGACTAAATGAGTCAAATGTCAAATTCTGACAATATCATAATGCTAAAGGTGTTAGATTAAAGTAATTAAAGATTTGTTAAAGCCCTTAAACTTATTGGAGTAGGTATTATTAGTCTAGCTGCTTTGGTTCCAAATTTACGGTCACTTAAAATTGAGGAGTTATGAAAACAGCGTAAAGAAAAATCAAGATTTTGCTTTATCTTGTAACAGCTGAGCGCAACATGTGACTCATTTTGTTGTATCTTTCTGTTAACTCTCAAATGTGGATATTGTACTGATACCCCCGGTGAACATGTTTCTTACTGCCTTACTGTAAACACCAGTTGCTGTACTAAACATTCATGAGCATGTGGTTTTTTTTTACCGCAAACAACAGGCTTGCCAACTATTGAGATACTGAATTCTGGAATTTTGATTGCTCCTGAGCGCCACGGACATACACTTCTGTGATAGGCTCCTAAAAAACCCCCAACCAAACCACAAAAACAGCTCAAACAAACCAGTGGAGAAACAGAGAGAGAGAGAGAAAGAGAGAGATGAGAATGTAACAGTACAGCTACTACACATATTCCTTTGCCCTCAGCATTTCTATGCCTTTTCTAAGAAAAAATAATAATTTTTTTTTTGGAGGGGGGAGACATTGCGCGATGATGGCAATTCTGGAATTTCCTGAAAAATTCAGGAAGGTTGGTAAGCCTGAAACAACCAGCAGCCTTTTCCATACTGTATACATGTTTGTTACGGTAAAAATTGAGAGATTGTATTTTACAAGAAGCGATAACACTCTCCACAAAAAAAGTATTCTTATTCTATGGATAAGAGAATTCTTGTGACCTTGAGCAAACAAGAGATAAAGTAGTATATGAGATTTTAAACATAAAAGACAAAAATTAATACATAAACATAATATGCTGTGAGTGCAAGACACTCAAGCCATTTGGTGGAGCACATAGTATAAAAGCTGTTTGAATCTTATAGGGAATAAAAATATACGTACAATTGTGGGCCTGATACTTGGAGCAAAAAGGAAATACTGTATACAGGGTTATAAAACTTTTCCGTTCTTTGCTACATTTACATACCTACCTATCTTTCAATAACATCTTTCCAAAATAACAACATTAAAACTAAAGAGAGATTTAAATATTTGTTTTTTCCCATATAAAAAAGAACTGTGTAAATGAGATATGGCATTGAAGTAAAAGACGACTGGCAGACACCTCTTCCTTTGGTTGAAGTTGTAGTCCACAGAGCTGTCTAGGCATAGCAGAAGTTGCTCTCGTAGGAAACTTTGCCGATGGCTGCCCAGATCGTCTCTGACTGGACCTGACTCTCACACAGATTGGCCAGCACGCGCAACTGACGCAGGCCGTAATCGTTCTGAAATATCACATGTGTTTGAGTAAAGAGACGCACGTAGACACAATAATGGTCATTTAGTACTGGGATGAAGCAAGATGAACTGACAAAGAAAACAGAAGAAACAAAGAGAAAAAAGACCAAAAGCTAACCCTCTCCAACCACCAACAAAATGACACGTGAGATGGTTAAAATGATAGGCATTGTGAAAAGACACAAATAAAAGATAATACGCACTTGGAAAAGACACATAATAGACCTGCATGTGAGCCTCAACCAGATTGTCTGAAAATTTTTCATGCCCCCCCCCCCCCCCATATAAGAGCTTTTTTGGGTGTCATAAAAGGAAGGACTACCGAGTAACGAGTGACCACCCTAACAAACACAATAAAAAGAAGAGACTTAACCCTAATCCAAACCCTACCCCTAGGCTTACCCCAAAAAAGAACCTGCAGCGGTCCTCATGTAAAAAGGCCAGCACAAGTCAAAAATGAAAAAAAACCCAACAAACCCACACTCCAAAACAAACAAGGAGCTTAATATGGCCTACATTGCTATTAGGGTTTGATGCAATGATACAATAGAATTGGAATATGAATCCTCCATAAAGATCTAGTAATCTAAATTGATCAAGATCTAGATCTAGTAGAACAAGTGTATAGGAATAGGCCTTGAACGAGAAATCCGCATTCGATTCAGAACAGAGGGACTCAGCTGAGTCTAGATCTAGATCTAGAGATTCTAAATAGATTCTAGATCTAAAAAATAATTCAAGCACCTGATGAAATGTTTTACATGTTTATAACATTAATATTACAGCACAACCTATAATAGGGTTTGACACAAAAGAATTGGAATACAAATCCTCCATTGAGGTCTATAATGATCTATAAATCTAGACCTAGTAGAACAAGTGAGTCGGACTTGAATGAATCCACATGATCTGAACAATCAGTCAACAAACGAAATTCAAAATGGGCGCTCGAGCCCGAAACTGAAAGTAGATAATTTAGGTCGTCGTCCTTTATCGTATTCGTACTTCTACTCAGGTTCCGACAATATGCCGGAAACGCTGACGTCTGCAGTTGGCACGAAAACGAAAGTGCCGACAAAGCCGACAGGAGAAAAAGGGGGCGCTGGCAGTCGGCCAGGCCTCGCACTTCGCACATTGACTGATACAGGTGGGCCTAGCGATAGCATCGGCCGGCTTGCGGGTCGCGATTGTCGGATTTCAGACGATTGTAGGCAAACATGCAGGTCTAACATAAGAAATAATGACATTTAGAAATAACACGTAGTATAAACATAAATGAAAGGCATTCAGAGACGAGGCATAAAATTTGAAATAATAGTTTAGGTAAAGTGAAGATCATCAACACAAACACAGAGAATGATGGGGAAAAAACAAGAACGACAGACAGACACAAAAGATGAAAAGTAAAGAAGGACCTGTTAGCACCCTTCTATAAAATCAAAGATCAGTAGAAACACCATGGGTCTCAACCCAGAATTTAAAAAAAGGAGGAACTTTCAAGGTGATCGCGATAGAAGCCCATTTTCGCGAAACACCCATTATTATTATACTGTTGAACCCTAGAATGCTGAAATAAAAACCATAAATTTATCAAAGCAAAGTTATTTCACACCAATTTGAGGGTTTGGAAGATAATCGCAAGTAAGAGTCACTTGCCCAATATTTACAATCTTGATTACAGTTTGTTTGTCCTCTAGTGTTGCGTCCAGCCCTCCCCTCATCCGTGAGTGTATCTTCCAAAAAAAATTAATTAAAAAAATCTCCCCCTATTCCGGAGTCCTGGACTTCACAGCGCTCAGAACGCGTGCAGGTTCACTGACCGGTCACAATGGCGAGCCTGACAAGACGCGTGTATAACTTTCTTTTCTTTTCTTTTGGCCCCCAAGAGTGACAGCACAGTGACGAATATTGATTTATTTTCATGGCGACACCACGTTTGTAATGCAGAACCTACATGTTACAAATTTTGCATTATCAAACTATTACTGACAAATTTTTCAGTGGTAACGAAAGCTGAACTTGATTTTCCAGACGAGCCTCGGTGTCACATACAATTCCGCTTGCCGCCATAGCCGCCTATTAGCATGAAACATACTCTCAGACGGGGAAAAGCCGAATTAATATCACGATCGCGACCGCCAAAAATGAACTTAAAGAAGTTATTGGGTTTGGTTTTGAAATATTCAAGATCTTTCATGCATTTTCCCCGAGTCTCGGCGATTTTTCTCTATTTCGCGGGTAATTCCCCGGGCCCGGCAGTCACCCTTCTCCCAGCAACTCTTTCTTATTGGCCCGCTGTTGTGATAGCGGAATTTAGAGGAGGGAATGGCGGTAGCGGAAATCCGCTAAATAGCGGAATATTGAGACCCATGAACACTTAGGCCTTTACTTTGAGCCCTTGCCACAGGAACACTGGTGAGCCAGATCCTATCTCCAAGCTGGCCAGTGTGGGACACAATGCACACAGAAAAACAGAGTTTACTACACTAGACGTTATTGATTATTTTGAAGATCTCTCTGAATTAGATGCTGGTAGTGTAGAGGTCTACCTTGGGTGGGATATGGAAAGTGATTTAGATGACCTTATGAATGTTAGTAATATATCGCTCAGGAGCTCAGGCAGAGGGGAACTGTAGCCACAAGAGGCCAAGGCTCAAAGGGTTAATGATTGGACATTTCACTCCTCATCTGTGCAAGTCCATGATCACCTAACACATTTCCACTCTCACCTGCGCCTCCCTATTAACATGGTCCAATTTAACTGTGTTAATTTTAGGCCCAGAAAATGTGGTCTATAATATTATTTCTTTCTTTCTTTTCTTTTTCCCCCAACCTTTTAGAGCATCATGGTTGACGTTAACTTTGTAAGGACCCCCTACCCCAATCTGAGCTGACGTCATTTGCGAACAGTTTCTAATCCAAAATTCAAAAATTCAGTTTTTACCTGATTTGAACTAAAAATGTCCTTAATCTATGATCTATTTTGATTTGGAAGAATTCTATAGCCGCGGATGAAAGGTTTTCGGTTTCCTTTACTTCCCTTACCATGTAAAATCTTAACACTTTAAACATAAAGAACTGGATAAAAGCGAGTGAATTTGCTTTGTTGCTAACCATATAGATTGTATGCATGTACACAAACTAATCTGAATGCCTTTTATCCTGCATAATATTTGTTTTGTTGTTTATAGTTGTATATCGAATCAAAATTCTTCAGCCTACAGCTATGCTGGAATGGATATGATAGCCAGTATTTGACATATGCAAAAAGCGAGTTACTCTTCCTTTGTATGACAAGCCAGAATTGGACATACGTGAACAGAAAATATCCACACAAAGGGTTTACCCATTTACACCCAGAAAAAAAGGACTATAAATGCATATATAACACAATGTGAAGAGGAAAACAAATAAAATCCACATTAAATCTCATTCATCTGCAAAAGTCAACCTACACAAGGTAGGCCTAATTTGTCAAACGGCACATCTCACCACTCACCTGTACCAGATTCATCCCGGGGCACATCTCACGGATCAACCTGATGCTCTCTGTGTAGCAGCTGAAGTCTGAGAACTTGAGAGGAGCAGCGATCAGATAGCTGTACAGATGGGACTCGGTGACCAGGCCCACCACGTTTTTGAAGAACTCTTGAGTCTGCTCTTTTTTCTGACCGGAGGAGAAAAGGAAAGATATGATCTCCTGAGATTGGATATTTCAAATCAAACATTCATTATCACTTTTTCCCTCTAGTGTATAACAAGCTAATTGTACAAGGACTTTCTCGACTCCCACTACAACATGACTGAACACTCAACAATCATTGTTCCTTTCTCTTAATACTCTTATTACTAATATTACAAAACAGACAGGGTCTGTATATTCTCAGGAACAGAAATGAGCTGACAGGGTAACTGGAGACACTTGGGTGAAAAAAAAGTCAGTAGATTTTGATTTGAAAAACACTGAAGATTGCAATCACAAGTAGATTTAACTACAGCAGTATGTAACTGGTGACAGGAGGGGGGAGGAGGGAGAGGGGGAGGGAGAGAGAGAGATAGAGAGACGGAGGGAGAGAGATAGAGAGACAGAGGGAGAGAGAGAGAGGGAGAGAGAGAGAGAGAGAGAGGGAGAGAGAGAGAGGGAGAGAGAGAGAGAGAGGGAGAGAGAGAGAGAGAGAGAGAGAGAGAGAGAGAAAGAGAGAGAGAGAGAGAGAGAGAGAGAGAGAGAGAGAGAGAGAGAGAGAGAGAGAGAGAGAGAGAGAGAGAGAGCTGTTCATGGTCAAAGGGAAGCTTCTCCCTGTTCTTTTGTACCTTGAGCAGGCCATGCAGAGCAGCACGGTGACGGATTCCTGCATCTCCTGATGCTGTGGCCACTTTTCTCTTCAGTATCTCTAGGGCCACATCCTCTGAGGGAACAGCATCAGCCTGGAGAGAAAAGAGCCCGAGTTAAAATGGAACCGGGGAAACAAAAAGTAAGTGCCACACAGTGAATGGATACAATATTATTATTGTCCTTGCAGGAAAAAAAGACATGGAGTAAAAGTAAGAATGGGATTGTAGAGCCGGACAAACAATGTTGTCATACGTCATAAAAGCTTAGCATATTGAATGAGAGAATAGAAGAAATAAAATCAAAAGCTGAAGAGAAGACTACAGACTGGAAAAAGATGACAACACATTAAAAAATAGCATGTATGGATGTTTTAAACTAATACAATCACCAAACTGTCAGTGTTGAGAACCAGACCAAACTGGGACACACCCTCCAGGACATACAGAGCCTGAAGACATGAATTATGGCTAGCTCCATTATCAAGTTTACCTTACTTTTACATCCTCTGTTGCCATTAAGTGTCAGGGATGTAGTTTTCTATGGTAGGCCAGCTCTGCAGCTCTTTCAGTTGGGATATTACGATTTGTCAGGGTTTCCTTGACACTCTCAATCCACCTTTTGTGTGGCTTTCCTCATCCTTCATAGCTGGAGTGCTTGGGGTTATAGGCTTTCGAGGCTGGCTGGCTAGATGACATACGTAACAGGTGGCTAAACCATTTTATTACCCGTTTTTCTTCGAAATGGAGGCAGGATTAAGTGCCAATAGCTGCTCTGACTTCTTCCTTTCTCTCCCTATCTCGTCTTGTGATGTTAAGAGTTTTGCAGAGACATTAATTCATTTCGCATGAGGTGATTTTGCTTTCCATTATCAACATTTCAGGAAAAGTTAAACGGGCCAACATACGAACGTAGCAGGATGATCCAGAATATAATAGAAACCAGTCTTCAAGCGTGATGCAATTGAAAAGAAAAAGAAGATTCAAACACGGTTACCCTAGCACTGAGAGAGCAATGCACTTACTGTTGGGTGCATCTTACGGTCAGGAGTGAACAGGAGAGAGCTCTTGGTGTAGTTGCCCTGGAAATCAGCAACCTTCAGTTTGCCAAGACTCTGCAAAAACAAAACAAATAAGGTCAAAACACCTAACAAATAAGTTCTAGGTTGTAAAAATCAAGGCGATTAAAACATTCAAATCATTCAATATAATCATAATTAAGTGTCATAATCATAATAAAGAAGTCTTTGCAATAAAGAGAGGTAGTCTTTGTAATTCACAGAGTTGCAGTTAGATGACTGAATTCATCATTACCAAGTGATGTTTGCCACTGCTATTAAGTTAAATAACAGAAGTTTTTAAATTTGTAATAAAGTGAAAGAAATCAGGGTCAAGGGGTGGGAAAAGTAGAGGAGACTTGGATGGGGGGGAAGGGAGTGGATTCAAAGTCAGAGGTGAGGAATAAGAGTAAGAGCTCATCAGGAAAAAAAAGAGTCAGAATGATGGAAAAGAAAAGTGACCAGAGGAGTGTCCTAGTTAGGAGTAGGGAGGGTCATAGTCAAAGGTAAGAAGTGGGGAATTTCTGAGTCCGCATAAAGAGAGCCAGGTGTCGACTTTTGAGTCAGCTGTAAAGGTTGGAGGTAAATCAGTGGAAGTAACCCACCAGATCCCCATACTCCATGACATGACTGGTGTTGGTTTCTGATTTCACAATCTTGAACTGGCTCTGAAGAGTTTCACTTTTGAGATTTTCCTGAGAAAGAAACAAACACAGTGGGTTAACAAATACACCATGAACTCAAACAATGACGCCCTCAATATAAAAGTCTATGTAAACAGTTTATCATGCTCAGTGTATACAGCCCTGTAGGGGAAGAGCAAAGCAAAGGCTACGGGTAAGGAGAATCAAAGTTGGGGATGGGAAGTTAGATCTAGGGGTTGTTAGAGTCTGAGTGAGGAAAAAATTTAACCACCGTTATCCATTAGCAGGCTCTACATACAGCATGGTCAGTGTATAGAGTGCTCAGAGCAATGCATAGTCTGTCTATAGGGTGATCTGAGCATGGAGTAGTATTTCATGTGCAGAGCATAGTTCGTATTCACCTTGTCGGAATCTTCCATCCACATGACACTGTAAACATCTCCAAGGTAAGTCTGTCTTTTATCATCATAGTAACAAGCATAGGAAGACTCATCAGGATTAGCTGCGGTCGTAGCAAACACTGAAACACAGAACAGGAGGTTGGGAGTAAAGAACTACACAATTATAAACAACGATACTGAAACCTAACATTTTCTACACCATATATGTAAACCTATAACTTATTTTTTAATATAAATCCAGTGAAACTAAGAATCTGTGCGGGAAACTAAGAATCTGTGCGGGAAACTAAGAATCTGTGCGGGAAACTAAGAATCTGTGCATGTGTGAAAGGGGGTTGGAAGCTTACACCCTCATAGGCATCCTTTCGGAGTTAAAGAGAACCCTGACTGTGTGGAGTAGAACCCAGCAGAAAGACAGATGTACTCGAAGTACCTTCCTGACATTTTTTGCAAGTAAAACTAGAAGTAAATGGGGGGATAACAAAACAAACCCCCACCCCCCAAAAAAAATTGTTTTAAAATGATGGGATATTGGCTTTCATTTTCTGCATGACTTGGGGGCTGTCTTTCCCGTTATCAAGTAATAAATTATGACAAGCAAGGAAATTTATGCACATGTTTCACCAGAAATAGTATGGACAGCAGTAACAAAACCTAAAAAAACAACAACACAGTGCCAGCAGGTCACACACAGAGCCCATCTTTTTACTCCCTTTTAGCCCATTTGGTATTAAAATGTCATATATACATACACTCAGGAATATATCAGAAGAACATTGTGTTAGAAGTTAGAGATGGTTTGGTTTAGTTTGAGCTGAGAGAAGTTTTATGAAAAAAACAAAACAAGATAGGGAGGCGGAAACAACAGAGAGAAAGCAAAGATGAAAAAAATATCAACAGTACCCTCCAACCTTCCCAAACCTCTCTGTCTGCCACGCCATGAATTAAGACATTGTGGGGGAAATCAGTTTATTTACTAAAGTCGTGCGATCATTACAGCATGTCTTCAGCAATGTGGTGGAAAAATCGCAGAGCTCACAGTAGTTCGGTTCATTGAGGCACGTGTTCAACAAGCTAGCGAAGATGTTGAGTCTTGTTTTCACTATTGTAGATGTTCAGAAGTGTACTGGGAAAGCATAAAGTGCACCATGGCATGTATCAGAAGAGTAGTGGGATAAAGCTTTGTTCACTGCGGCTTACAATCAGAGGGGTGGTGTTGTTAGTCTGGTGGTTAGGCCATCACTGCTGTAGCCATGAGATTACCAGTTCAAGGGCTTGAGACTCAGCTCGGTCCAACGTTGTGTCCTTGACAAAGGCACTCAACACATATTCACCCACTTGTCTTCGTTCATTCAGTGATGGACATTAAATTCAGTGGTCCAACAATGTTGGAAGAGGGGTTCAACTCAAACAATTTATTCAAAAAACATTCAGAGGTGTTCTGGAAGAGTACTGAGCTCAAATAAAGAAAATCTTCAGACAGGTAGTGGGGGAAACATTGAAGTCCATAATTACTTGCCAGTCTACACCTTCAGAGAGAGAGAAAGTATACAGCTTCACAGAAGCAATGTTTGGATCTTTCATGGGTTCATTAGCCATATTCCTCATACTCCCTCTGCACTATTAAAAACCCACGAAATGCCCTGTCTGCTTTCTCTCTATCCTAAAAACAGGCAGCTGATTAATATGCTATCCACACACCTTATATATTTTCCATAGAATCAAGAATGAAAACATGTGTTCTTGGTGATACGATTCTACACGAGATTCACAGAATACCCAAAGGAAATAAGACATAATGGACAAAGCTACAGGAGAACTCACCATTGATATCACTTTCCAGGAGGTTATCAAACATGGACCCAGACTCACAAGCCTCCACGTAAAAGACCATCTGAAAATAACACGATGCATAAGTAGAAATATCACACACATGCTGAGAAAATATGAGGATGTAAAACATATTATGCGCAAACATAATCAGAAAATAAACATGTGTGTACATGAGGAATTTCCCATTTCAGATGCCATGGAAATGTGACAAGAGAAATTGATAATATATTTTCTCACCTGCTTGTTCTTGAGTCAGCTCTGAACAGATCTTTCTCAATTGCTGGTTTTTTACAAGCTCTCAACAGACTTTTGTCACCTGTTTGTTCTTGCACAAACAAGCTCTAGACAGACTTTCTCACATGTTTGTCCTAATACTAATAAGCTCTAGACAGACTTTCTCACATGTTTGTCCTAATACTAATAAGCTCTAGACAGACTTTCTCACATGTTTGTCCTAATACTAATAAGCTCTAGACAGACTTTCTCACATGTTTGTCCTAATACTAATAAGCTCTAGACAGACTTTCTCACATGTTTGTCCTAATACTAATAAGCTCTCAAAAGACTTTCTCACATGTTTGTCCTAATACTAATAAGCTCTCAAAAGACTTTCTCACATGTTTGTCCTAATACTAATAAGCTCTCAAAAGACTTTCTCACATGTTTGTCCTAATACTAATAAGCTCTCAAAAGACTTTCTCACATGTTTGTCCTAATACTAATAAGCTCTCGAAAGACTTTCTCACATGTTTGTCCTAATACTAATAAGCTCTAGACAGACTTTCTCACATGTTTGTCCTAATACTAATAAGCTCTAGACAGACTTTCTCACATGTTTGTCCTAATACTAATAAGCTCTCAAAAGACTTTCTCACATGTTTGTCCTAATACTAATAAGCTCTCAAAAGACTTTCTCACATGTTTGTCCTAATACTAATAAGCTCTCAAAAGACTTTCTCACATGTTTGTCCTAATACTAATAAGCTCTCAATAGACTTTCTCACCTGTTTGTACTGTTTGTTTTTGTGCATGCTCTTAATGGCCTTGTGGAGATCCTGCGCTTTCAGCTGAAAAGGCATAAAAGTAAAATATTAGTTGCTTAACTAATCATTGCATGCAGTAACTGAAGCTGACATCAATCAAGATAAAGATATTGTTTTTATTATTGATCTTAATTTGGACACTAATAACAATGTGAAAACTTCATTATCCTCTTCTTCCAGACTTCAAGAGTAAAATGATCGCTATGAGTTGATTTCTTTTTCACTAATACTTCAGATGACACCTTCACAGTACTCAATCAGGGGAGGGAGGCAAATGATGAAAATTAGTATGTATAACAAGGGCAATAAAAGACTTCAGTTTAAGTTTTAGCAAGAGACACAAAAAGGAGGAGAGATAATGACAACAGGTATTTGATAGGAAAAAAGGAGCAAACCACACCAAAGCATCTGCTAACCACCCACGACCCAGAGAAAAAACAACTTAGGGAGACAAATGACAATGGGGATAAGGGAAATAAATGGCTACAGTAGAAGAAGAGATAGATTTCTACCTTTCGGAGAGAAAATACTATTTGCAGTAACAGAGAATAAACAAATGAGAGAGACAAAAGACTGAGGGGAACCAAAGGACCACGGGAGACATGTTAGAGGGAGATAAATATCCCAGGGAGACAACAGACTAAGTCGGATAAACTAAGTACGGTATGACAAGAGTTTTTATATGCACGGCAATAGTCTCCCTCTACATCAATCAAAACCCAAATCAAACCAAAGCACTATTTTTAAAATTATAAATATCTAACAGTATGAAAAAAAAATGTTCACCATATCAGTTGGAAAAGCTAGAAAGCCTGGGGCTCCATGGTCAGCAAAGTTCACAAACACACGATCATTTGGCCCACTGAAATAAATAGAATCAATTGTTTAACGAAATCTTCGTTTTCAGATTACAAAAAATAGTCAATCATTGGGGCTGTTAGAAAGTAGAGAGGATAATTACCTCAATCAATCTTATATTATATTGAAAGAGAGAGACATTAAAAGAAAACATATATTGAAAATGCTTTTCCCCAGGCGGTTTTACAGAGAATTTAATATGAGTCTCTGATTGTGGTGGAATTTCCGCATACAGACAGGAGGCTAGTCAGACATCAGGATCACCTCTCATAGAAAGATAACCTTCCTGGTTAAAGGTCAGGTTCATACAGGTAAAAAAATATTTCAAATTTTCTGAGGTTTTTGGTGAAACCCCTCACTTCAGGGAAGTCATCCTGGATAAAACCAAGAAGCTCAAAAATTAAGATCAACATCTTTAAAATGCTTTAGTCTGTCACAGTCTTGCCCCATATAACAGTCACAGTATGTGGTTATTGTATCTAGAAGTGGCCCTGCCGGAAAAGAAGGTCATATTGTAGTCATGGATGAGTCATAGGATGCAACAGTCTTTATGATGTTGTGGTCATATGATGTTATATTTGTAAAGTGGTCAGATGATGTTGTGTTCAAATGATGTTATATTTGTAAAGGGGTCAGATGATGTTGTGTTCATATAGCAGTCAAAAGATGTTAGGTTCATATCAGGAAGAGGGCATGCAGCACTCAAATCATGTGGTCATTAAGTGGTCATATGATGAAGTGATCACAGCCTGAGTTCATGTGGTGAAAAAATAAGAAGACTGACTGCCAATGAGGCCAATGCTTATGTCCAAGTAACCTTTATCAGTAATTTTTAGACAATAACTCATTAAATTCAAGGCAGACCATACTAAAATCTTTCAATCAATCTGAAAGACTTTTTTCAAACTGCATGTTTAATTTTCAAAACATGATGAAATTACTGACCTACAAGACTGAAAAAATCAGCAACCTAGATGCTTTGCTGCAATATCATTTAATGATGAGCAAGCCATTTTAAGTGAGTTCCTATTTCCCTTGACCCTCCGTCAAAGTCATACATGCATCCACTGACCTTTTGATAACCTTCCCATCTCTTCCAAGAACAGCTTTCACACCTTCAGAGTCACCGGTCAAGACCTTGAGGAATATGTCCGGGGTTACTTCCTGAAATGCAAAACAGACAAAAGTCCTGTCATACCTTCTTCTTTAATCGACAGCTGAGCCTTCTTTTAAATTGAATATGCTTCATCCAAAAACAATGATATTTTTTTCTTTCCGCCCGGGCTGGGGCGACTATCCCCGGCCTGGCGGCTCCCAAGTGGCGGATAGGGAACGGCCACTGTAATGAAGGTTAGCCGTGAATATGTTGAATAAGCAGCTCCGGACTAACTGGCGATGCTCTTACCAGGATGGGGTGAGGTGGCAGGAAGCACTACCACGTCATTAAAGGCCCTAGAAGTCCTCTGACGGGAGCATCATGCGGAAAAGGACCGCATTAAGTCCTGGCTATAGGTGGGATCCGGTTACAATTCCTCCCTGTGCTCCCAGGGCAGGTCCTTGGACCTGGAGCTGGAGTGCTGAAATCGGAGGTATTGGACCGCAAGGCGCACTCTAGAGAACCACAATACCACGTAATACTGCAATAAACGACACAAAATTTCTTTCTGCTTGGTAAGAAAACTATTACGAAGCTGAAATACTTCCATTTCTAAATTGAAAAGAATTTTGAGGGTCACGCACCCCCATTTCCAGGAACTGTCGTATGCATGTACACTCACTGAATACCATCAAAACTTTGTGATAAATATCTCATAACTGTAAAAAAACATGTACTTCCCTATTTCACTAGACATTGCAGTATTGATGAAATAAGCACATCACTACCAGCACAAATATCACATGTAAGTCAAAATAATAAGCATTTTTAAAAATAGCATATTTACAAATATTTCACTATGTCCCACAAATTCATTTTGCTTTAGATTATCTCACTTTGTCAAAATAAGCAATTCGCTATCTCAAAACATTATTACATTGTACTTTCAGAGAAGCTGTAAGCATTTCATTACGTATATTTTAAGAAGTCGATAAAACCGATATCGCTTGAGCTATGCTAAGAAATTCCCTTATTACAAGCAGTCTGCAGTTTAAGACCAGGAGTTCCCTCATAAGTGTATCATATCTTTGGGGTTACACACTTTGCCTGTGTAGTCTTTGGGCACGCCTTGGTAGACATTAGGGCCTTCAGGACGGTTGATGATGTTCCCAGGTACTGGATTCCTGCACAGAGATCAGATCATAAATAAACTTGTAATAACACATTCCACACAGAGGCAACACTCCATGTTCATCATGCTCCAGTAATGGTGTGAGTCAGACTCAAATCAAAGTCAAACTGAACCACCATCATGTCACAAAACTGTAGACAAGCTGTCAGTTACAAGTATCACCCAGCAAACATTTTTCTCCTCAAAAATGGGCAACTGCCATCTAGACAATTTTGACTGTATTAAATATAGATATGGAACAATATAATAGTTTACAGAGAAAACACAACAAAAATCTAAATAAACAAGGGTGAAATTTTCCTAGAGAGAGGTTTCCCTTTACAGAGTGCTTTGTTTTCTCAGTGAATCAAGTCCAATATAGAAGTATTTAAAACTGAGACATCATGTGAGACCTTGGCACTTACTCTTCATTGTTGGCGATATCGTCGTACATCATGACAACAATCCTCTCATCGGGTATTCCATGGCTGCGCACCACGTGGTAAGCATGGCAGATGTCAGCCTGCACAATACATAAGACCTGAGTCAGAGCTATATATACAGATGTGTGACAAGTCAAATTATATGTAGTTGAGTACAAGTGTCATATAAATCAAGAGTATGTATGTGTATAAATGGGTCACAAGCAATGCAGTGTACGTTAATACATAAGGCACAAGTACATACATTGCATAGGTAATTATTATGTAGATGCGCCACATGTGTGTCTAGACGTGAGGTCACAAGTTCTGTGTTGCGTGTTGATTGCAAGTATCACTAGTCCAACTATCATGATGTCTCAGAATAAGGTAACATCAATATATAGAGAGAGACACATTATAATGCTGAAAAGAATTCTTAAGATCTTATGTTTCCCAATAAGATGAAATTGTTCAAGAATGCTATCAGGTTTGCTGGGGTGAGAATAACGACAGCCTAATAACTTAGATTGTAAAGCACATTAATGTTATAAAACTTACTGGTGCCACTGTTGGATGGGGATTCAAGCTCTACAAATGTTGATTATTTCTTATTTTACTGAACAATAAGCCATGAAGCCATCTATTGGACTTTGTGGGAGAGGAAATTTAACCTTTTCGTGATTTAGATTTCCACACAACTGCAGCCAATCAAAAATTTTAATTCAAAGGTCTACTTAACCCTTTAACTGCCAAAACTTCTTTCTTGTAGCCTAACTAAAAGGTAATGATAGTCTCGGACCTGGCAGCGAAGGGGTTACGTGATCATGTGTTAACCGTTTTCATTACATAAAACTACAGCGAGCACCTAGCACACCACTGTGATTGGTCCAAATATAGATGACGTATTTCCGCCATCTATTTTTGTCGTTTTCCAGGGCTTCCCTCGTCAATTGACTAGATCTCACCGCGGCGGGCCCGCTTTGCCATAGCACGCGACGGGCTACGTCTGAGAAAACATGTGTGCTTCTTGGCTACGTCACTAGGTTTCATCCCCAACTGGGGCTGTGCATGTGTGTGAGTGTGTGTGAATGCGCACACACTTGTTTATGTTCATGTGTGTGTGAGTACAACTTTGAGGAGAAGGTTAATTTATGGAACAAGAATTGCCGAGATTGTTTATAAAAGATACGCAGAGGCTACGTTCACGGCACTCAAGCATCCACTGCCAGTTTAAGTAAGCCGGTTTCAGTCAGTGATGTAGATATTTAATATCTCTATATCTAATATTTCCTTCATCTCATGGGACGGAACACTTGAAGATGGCCAAAATATTAAATATACAGTCGAACCTGCCTTAACGGAATCTCCCCGCTTCCCCCTTGACATATTCCTCTTTAATTACCTGTATAAAACGGAAACCTGTCCAATGCGGAAACGGAAAGAAAAATCCGCTCCCTTCCGAGGGTTTCACCTGTCTAAGACAGAAAATGCTTTGCCTGCTCAGCTATGATTTGAAACAAAACGCGCAAGTTGGTTCTGCCAGCTCTACACCGCCATGGCCATGCCTAGGCATGGAAGGGGAGTAGGGGTGTAATTTGGGGGTAGAAGTTACCCCATAATATGAGCCCTGAGCGATGCAGACACAGTGATTATTCTCACCCGCGGTGAGGATAAACTGGATATTATTCTCACCCGGGGTGAGAATAAAATTTCATACTATTCTCACCCCGGGTGAGAATAACGACAGCCTACTATTCTCACCCGTTTTTTTCGTTTCGGGCATCATAGGACCCCTGTCACTGAGCGCTCCAGACGACAAAACTCGCCTCCCTCCCTCTCTCACTCCGCTGAGCGTGCGAGGCGACTAAAATCGAGAACGGGCGTGCCAGCTCTCGGGCGCAGGAGGCGACTATTGTCGATTTGGGGAAAAAAAACTTATCTTTTGACCAAATAGCGTCCCCTTTTGTAGCTTCAGTGTTAATTTATTGGTTCTGTAATGGAAAATTTTACTCTTCAATGGTTTAACCAATCAAAATTGAGAAAAAAATAAGCCTAGGGTCAAGGCACTGCATTCCTTAAAAATAATCGTGGGTTCTGCTAGGGATAACAATTAAACATGTTTTTTTGTGTAGTTAACAAATGCCAATTCTAACTTTACAAAAGACAAACTACAGTAGTCTCCGCCTAAGATCCCGGTGCTCGGGAGCAAGGAAATGCGGGATCCTAGGCGAACCGGGATCTTATCCGACAAACCAAGGGAAGAATCTATGGTGACTCATGTTAAGGATCACAATCGGTAAAATGGTCTTCCTCCACTCTAAAATGAACTGACGTGACCACTTGGTGGGTTTATGACGTATGGCGAGCAAAGAGTGGTTAACCTTGATGATCTATCACAGGTCATAGTGGGATGGGGCGATGAGGCGTGCTATTTTCACTTATTATCCTATCATTAGCCTGAAGATCTATGCTTCCAGTTGCCCCTCCCCCTTACCTGTCAAAAATGTATAGCTTTCCATCTCTGACCGAGTCCCCCCCCCCCAACCGCCTTTGTCGTTACACACCATTACGTCTGCCTCTTTTGACTGTTCAGCTTGTCGCCTTTTCATGATTCATGGTCATGGTACTGGTAACTGGTAACTGGTAGACTAGCCTACCCTACTGTACAACGTCTCTTAGAACTAGATCTAGATCTAGAATCTGGATGATAGAGAGGTAAAATAAATTATGAATTATGGAAATCAGTTTCCAAACTTTTACCTGATGTCGATAATTATAGTAGCCGTTGGATCCCGCCACCAGCAAAACCCAGTGTAGTTCTTCTTGGCACAGCACACTTGAGAAAAATGGCAGCAAGGTGCACAACAGAAGCGTCACAGCCTTCATTTCAATCAGTTTTCGTTTCCAAGGATGTTTTTTTCCGTATCTCTGGCTTACTTTTTGGTCAAAGCTTCATCGGTACTACGATAACAGAATGAAAACGTTGTGATTCAAAATTCGACTGAAGTCAAAGATCAATCTTATGGACAACGGATTGGCCAAGCCAAGTACTAACTCAGAACGTCGGGGGGCACTGACTGACTGATTGGGAACTGGGAAGGAAACTCCAAGGCAGGGGCTTTCCAATAATAATACTGTGATTGTGATCACATGAGATTGAGAGAGCCTGTCATGTGACTTTGTTTATCTTTCGAGCACAAAGACTTAGTAAACATTCTACATCGTGCACAACTATTGGCGCAGATTTCAGTTTCCGGTTGCCATTCATGCCTGGCAGGGCAGGTAGGAAGGAGAATTGTTACTACATCATCATTTACATCGGCTTGTATGGATTTGGTTAGGCCTAGGTAGCACTTAAAGACACACCAGTCGAGTTGACCGAAAAAAGTCGAATAACGCAATCTACATCCAGCACAATGTTAAGTTCAAATAAAAATTACATTCTGTGCTTGCTGTTGCCTTCTAACTTAAATGGTTGCTCTCTCAGTAGGTGTCTGACTTTTTTGTCGAACTACGTTTTATATAGACTATACTACTGATCAAATCACCTGCGATGAAGAAATTACTGGCCTTGGTAATAATAACAATAGGCCTAATAATAATAGATAATAATAATAATATAATAGTAATAACAACAACAACAACAACAACAACAAAAGATAAAAAACATTAACAGCAACAACAATAATAGTATTCATAATACCATCATCATCATCATCATCATCATCATCATCTTCATCATCATCATCATCATCATTATCATCATCATAATAATAATCATAATCATAACAATTACAATCATAATAATAATAACAATAACAATAATGAACAGTCACAGGTCAACTACAGATACGAAAAGATGGAGTATCACAATACCGAATAAAATAGATAAGACGGAGG